GGGCGCATGCTACCCGGAATGCCTCATTTGGGAGTAGCGTCCCCAGTTGTGGCGAAGGGACGGCATTGAGCCACGCCCCCACATGCGGCTGTCCCATCGCGAGGAGACGGGCCTTATCTTCAGGCGTCAGCGCCCCATTTTTGAGGTGATTTACGGCGGCCTCCTGTTGAGGCATCTCCCAAGCCGCTTGAACATCCCTAAGTTCGAGTGGGGGGAGTTCGGCGGGGCCCATCGGGTTCCACATTTCTTCCCCTTCCTGCCTGGCGGTATCGGTGTCATGCAGGTAAGGTGGCAGAAGGCGCTCAACAAGGGGCAGGGCGCTGTAGGCGGACGCTAAGAAACACGGAATCGCCACGTCTACAGCATGCCTGACCCCTAGGCCACCTTCACTGACCGGAAGGGAAGACTGAAGCCACGAATGCGGGGAAAGGGTACAGTTGAGAATCCCTTCCATTAACTCCTTTAGTTTGGAGTCATATAGGGTGAGGGCGTCAAATCTTCGCCAAGTGGGGGCACAACGAAGAAAATATATGAGGCGGGGCGTGGATATAGAGGCCCGAAGGAGGAAAAAAGCAGAGTGGGAGGAGAGCTCGAGTAGTCGGGTCCCAAGTTTTGCGAGTTGTTCGGCCTTTGCCCCCAATACAGTCTCGATTGACGTATCGGTGAGAGGAGCACCCAGAAGAACGGCAGCTTCGGGGGAAATCTCCTGTATCCCCGGTGCTGCCCGGCGAAAACGCTCCAAAATTTCAAGGTGGGAACGTTCGTCCGCCCCTAGCACGCCCACTTCACACTTGGCGGTGTTCAGGCGAAGACCAACTTCCTCCCCCATGCGGATAATGGTGTCCAGCGCGACTAACACTTTTTCTGGGGTGTCCGCTATAGTGGCATCGTCCAGAGACAGGTTCAGCCTAATCTAGTTAGAAATATTAATAATACAATCTCGAATCATGAGTAAACACCATCCTCAATGCCTCATTGTGCTCATCTCTTGTGCTGCTTAACTCTATCGCAATTAGTCAATTAACAACGTAATTACGTTTCCCTCTCAATTTTGGAAGTTGCATTTATCAATTTCTCATTCCTCTACGAACATGGAGCTAAAATATTCTGCAAAATCCATTCCTTCCAAAATTGCACCTGGAATAATTTCCCCTCCATCACCTGGATTGACCCAGCAGGTCAACTCATTTTTCAAATTCGCCCGATACATTGCTCGGTGCCCCATAACATTTGAAAATATCCCGAATAAAAAACAAGTCAAGTTTAGATTTAAAATGTGCAGTAGCTCATTTTTGTTATCAATGAATTTCGCTCTAGTTCTGAATACCGTGATTGCAGTTGGTTTCTTAAACTATAGCGATATTCTGTACAGTGTGTATGACGTCTTTCCAAGAAGTGGAATGTGAGTGCATTTTTAACAAACGAAATTTACATAGCTTTTCCTTCTAATAACCTGGTAATAAAATTGTCACCGACTTTTACACATTGGTGAAATTCACGCAGTCATTGCTAACTTTTCAAGTCCGGAAGTTTTGTGAAATCATTTTACAAACTTTTACAAAATAAAAAGACACCCTTGTCATGAATAAGTTTACACAAATTTGTAGGGTAATTTTGCATGGAAATATTTGTAAAATTTTGTTAAGATTTCAGCGTTTAGAGAATTTACGAATTTTACATTGCTACCAAGGTCTGTGTGAATCATTATATGGCTTCACGCGACTTACAACCAAACGGTAACAATAATTGGCAATGAAAATTAACATTACTAACTTATTGGAACACGTGGTATTCTTGAATATATATGGCTCATTATTAGTGTGACAAGCAAACTAATATTAATTTTATTGGCAACTATTGCTATTTTACCACGGTCAATCAGGGACAATTTTGTTACCATATCAGTTACTACCAATTACATTATTCATTAATTTTTATTAACGGCGTTTTTAGTTGGCCGCCCTCGAATCCCAATGCGGAGAGTGTGGAAAGTAGCGTCTCTGCATTTTCGTTCGGCTTGATCAAGTCCATGAACGCGCTATACATCGCCTACGCTTCAATCGGCTATTTAATCGCGTTTCTCAAAACGCCAAAATTAGAGAAATGGTTGAATCATTGGAACGAAATTGAAGACGAAATGCAAAAAATTGGTTCCAACCGGGATAAAATTAACATTGACAAGTTTCTCCGCTATTTTATTACTTTGTTTGAATTCTTTCCGATCTTGATTTTCGGAGTGTTTGAGACCATGTTACGATTTGATGCCGACTACCCGATTCACTGCGTCTTGGCAACAATTTACGCTTTTCTTCCCGGAATCTGTTATGCCGTTGATGATTCGCAAGCACTCATTATGCTGAAATGTTTGCAAGTCGAGTTCCGACAGGTTTTTGAAATTTCTTGAAATTACAAAATTTACTAAATTGTTGTATTGTTGGTATTTCGGGTGCAAGTATCCGCTTGCAAGAAATAACGGAAAGAAAAGGGTTTCTTGCAGCTATTTTGACCTGGAAGAAATGCAAGGCGCTAGAATTTGCTTCCCGCCACTATGGTTCATAGGGCGCTAGATGGCGCCTATTTATTACAGTTTCTTGCACCTTGAATTTCTTGAATAAATGTAGCAAACACGAAAAAAACGAAGCGCTTTTGGTTTGTTTAATTGATACCTATCTCAGCTTATTTCTATCTTAAAGATGCGAAGCCACATTACGAAAAATTTGAAAGAGAGACATGAAGAATTACCGATTAGGAAAATTCATCAGCTTTTGCTCCAGATACGATCACAAGCGAAACGTTGTGGAAATTGCTTATCAACTTCACAGCTGTTTTCCATCCTGATAACGATGTATGCCACGGGAGGGTCAATCTTCGTTTTTGTAAACGAGGTTGCAGGTGGACGTAAATTTGGGAGTGAGACGGGGGAAATTATTACGCTGGGAATTTCGTCGTTATGGCCAATTTTTGGGATGAGCCGGCTTTACGTGAAAATTTGGATGGGTGTCACAATTACTAAAGAGGCGAGTATTTGTGGGCAGTGATACATGACGGAGGTCACCGCTGCCGGACGGAGGTTATCAAAATCATACTAAAATCTTCGCCGCGCAAATTTGGTCGGCGTTGACCTCTGATGCATTATGCATACATAAATATGTACAGATCTTGTGGAAATGAACTTGCCAAAAATTCGCCAATTTTTCTGCAGAAAAAATATGCAAATTTCTGAGAGTGTAAAATTTTTGAGGCAAACTTTCATTGAAATTGATATGTTTGCATAATTATGTATGTGAAGATTTTAATTTAAAAACTTTAACGCTTTATGCGGGTGCGGGATTTTTTTGCAGAATTAATTTACATAAAGTTTGCAATAAATTAATCTGCAGAAAAATGGGGAATTTTTAGCAAGTATGTAAATTCTCGCAAGAAACCTGTCACCTGTGGGATGTTAAAAATTACTAATTTTTTATGACCAATAGGAAACGAAGATTGTATCTCTCTTGAGGAATGAGGAACTCAAGGTCAAATTTGGGACATTTGGAACCGATTACTATTCCTCAGAGGTGATTTCTACATATCTCAAATTCTGGATTACTTTCCTTAGCTAATGAAGCATATATTTCCTGCTTTAATTGTTCCAGCTACGCCATGTTTGCAACTTGTTGACAAATCATCCCACCGAGGTCTCTTTTAACGATTATGTAAAATTGAACAACGCACTGATTTTGGGAGTAAGTGTTAGAAACATACTTGACTAAATTGAGAAGTGCTTTAAATTTAGTATGAATATGCTAAGATATATGTACGTGTGCATTAATTGTTTCAGGTCTTCCAACAAATCTTCACGCTTTTTATTATATTAATGCAATTTCGTTAAAATAGCACATAATAACGTGGACATGATGCAAGCAAGCAGTTCCTGTAAATATGACACGAATGTTAGCAACGCATACATTTTAGAAGTAATTTTATTGTATATGCTTATTCACAGTAATTTTTCTAAAATAAAAAAAGTAAATTGTGTATTAATTTCAAAATCAGATAAATCATTTCGAATGTTAAGGTACAGTTGCTCGCTAAAATTTTTTTTGTACGCATGTAGCATGTAATTGCGCAGTATTACGGAATTTCGCATGTGTAAACTTGTCACACCATTTACCATTCGGGCTAATTTTGTGCATATAAATATCATAAACCAGATAATGTTGTCATGTTGTTCGATACTTTAGCGTTTCTGGGGTTGCTTACAGTACGTAAATTATTTTCCCAGAATAACCGACCTTAATACTGTTACGTGTCGCGTCTATTAGCTAAAACTATTAGCTAATTGGTAACGAATTTGCAGTTGATTGTCATAATTGTCTTATGTAATACTACAAATATCCGGATACACGACAAACTTGTGACAAATGTGAACTCACCTGTGTTACGTAGATATGTATGCATGTACATGATATGATTAGTATTGCTGCCATTAAGAAAATAAGTTTGCTAAATGGAGATTGCCAATTAGCAAAGTACATTCTCATCCTAAGCTACAAACACCCAAAAGTAAATTGTTACTCTTTCCCATCAATCCATTTTGCCTGATGGAGCTCACATTTCCTCTCAAATCCGTACCCCTAAAAATTTTCCCCGTTATAATTCAACCGCGCCCATTTCCTCCAGGATTAAGCAGCCAGTTCCTCCCGTTTTTTAAATTCTCCCGATACTTAGCTAGATGCCCAATTAAATTCAAAAGCGATCGGAATAAATCTCAAGTTCATTATCAATTCAAAAAGTGCAGCGTCGTTTTCTTGGCCACTTTGACTTTTGCGATATTTCTGAATATCTCTTTATTCATTGGTTTAGTGAAATATGAAGATTTTTTTAAGCATGACTTATTAATTTTGGGAGATGCGTGAGTATAAAATAAGTAAATTGTAGTGATTTACGATACGTAAGAAAATGTTAAAAACGTATTTTTAATTCGTTTTTTTAATTAATTAATCTACACAGTTGGCCACCACCCAAGCAGTTTGGTGAAAATATAAAAAACCGGGTTGGCGAATTCGTCTATTGTTTGATTTGGTCCTTCGCACCGATTTCTATCTTAATGGTTTCAATCGATCATGTTTTAGCTTTTCTGAAGGCACCCGAGTTGGCGGAATGGCTCAATAATTGGAATGCAATTGAGGACGAAATGCTACAGCTTGGGTTTAACCGGGATAAAATTAAAATTACTACATTTTCCCGCTATTTTATTCCTCTGTTTGAATTTGTGCCATCACTGATTTTCGGAAGTTTAAATATGATATGGCTTGTCGACATCCGATATCCGCTGCATTGCTTGATAAGCTTCATTTACAGCTACCTTCCCCACATCTGTTATGCTGTTGAAGATTCCAAAGCACTGTTGATGCTGAAATGCCTCCAAGTCGGATTTCTGCAGGTGTGTAATTTACTTAATTAGTTATGTAACAGACTCACTCATAAATAATTGATGAATAATTATTTTTAAGGTGCGCAGTCATCTCGAGAAAAATAGCAATGTTCCTCGACGCCAATTACCTGTTCGAAAAATTCACCTACTTTTATTCAAACTTCGACTACAAGCCAAACATTGTGGCGATTATTTGGCGACTCAGCAACTCCTCTCGATTTTTAGTACGATGTACATGACGGCGGCGTCATTCTTCGTGTTCGTGATCGTGCTGAGTGATCTCTCCTTGGGCGACGGTATGGAGGACTTGATAGCTATGGCATTTGCTTCCACATGGCCAGCCTTTGGGATGAGTCGACTTTACGTGAAGATTTGGATGGCTGTAAGGGTGACTAGGGAGGTGAATGGCAGACGTTTCAGAGAAAATGGTTGCTATGGTGACATATAAACTGTACATATTTATTCTCCAGGAACAAGAGATTGCATCCATACTTAAATTTGAGGGATTAAAACTGAATGAGGAAAAATTCGGGTCAGACTATTCTAATGAGGTAATGCCTACAGATTTACATATGTACTTATGTGCATGCAGAGCGTTATAAATACGTACTTAATTGCATACACACATATGCAGTACATGGTTTATCCTGGAAATATTTTCAGAAACAAATTAAGGATTTCATACTTGAAGTATTTACATATGTACATAAATTCTAACCATGTATTTGGTTTTCAGTTAAGGGAAATTTACAAGTTGTTAAAAAATCACCCGACGGAGGTTTCCTTCAACAACTATGTCAAATTAAATAATCCATTAATTTTGGGGGTGCGTGGTAATTAATTAAATGTTAAAATGTCTATGTTATTCTGAATTACTTCTGTAAATGTTTCAGGTATTTCAACAAATTTTTATGCTGTTTATTATTCTGATGCAATTTCGGAAATAAGGTGACAAGACGGAGACAGATGAAGCCGATGAACTTGAATATTTGATTGGTTTGAATTTTTAGATAAAAACAACGATGGGGCCGGAATACATGTAAATTTAAATATCTGTACATAATATGGTCGAGGTAGCTGTAAACGAAATATCGGTTCAACAGTTTTTGTGTCACAAATTTTAGTGCTGATCGGCTTTGGTAGTTACAGTAAAGCTTAATACAGTAATACAGACACGCAATCGTGCAATAACATTCATTGATAAAATTTGTAAGTTTAGAAATAGCTTCAAAAATTACTGAATGATTTGAATCCAGAACAAAGTTTGAATAAATTAAATAAGTAAAATTGGGCTATTAATTTTCGTTACTTAAATTAATTTTTATATTTATTTGTCTGTACATGTACTAAAATAAATACATATGTATACCTTATATCAAAACCAATACATACATACCAATAAACTTGTACATATCATTGCGTATGCAGTAAAACTGCCAATTATCACCTATCGGTCACATACTATTCCAATGCATCATTTAGTCAGGTGGTAATATTTCTTCAAATTAATTTATACTTTTCTGTCTGCGTAATTTTGCTACATTATAATTTATACTTAAGGACGAGTAACGAAGCGGTTTGCGTTGCGCAAAATTGTTGAAATACGAGCGGTGTCAAAGCATCCACAAAGTTATTTCCGAACTGAACCTTGACGGGTTGAAAGGATTTCACAATCCTTCTGTGCGTTTTGCTTTGTCCTGGGGGGAACTGTGACACCCACTTTCCCGTTTTGACAAATATGTTAGCGGCAAAACTCAAAATCAGCATTGTCAACCCAAGACACTCCAAATAGACGATGAAAAATATAACAGAGCTGATAACTTTATCATCTTTAAGCAGAATTACGAACACCAAGCAACTCAAAATTTGCACAATTGGCAAAATGAGAATCATCGCGGGGAGAATGCGTTCCCGAAGCGAACTATTTACAGTTTTCTCCAAAATCTGTAATTCCCTATAATTTCTTAACCAATGTTCTACGCTGTCAAATCCCCGATCCAAGAATGATACGCATTCTGCGTATAAAATTAGAATTCCGGTGACCAAGCTAAATGCAGAGTATTGGTAGGTCCCCATGAAAATAAAGCTTGCCACGATGCCCTCAATCACAGCCACAACAAGGGTCGTGGTTATAGACACAATTTTCTGGTTACAAATTAACATCGGTCCCAACAAAGGGGTCCTACATGGGATGAAAACGATAAGAATGGTGATGAACAAGGGATCCACAATGCAGGACAATTCAAAGAAGTTACACAAGTATTTAATGACGATCTCCAACCTTGTGGGACTTGTATCTGCAAAGCAAAAAAATTATTTATTACAACAACGAACGGGTCGTCACAATGGGATATATATCAGGGTGCATAAACTTTTTTGTTGTCCGTGGTTTCTCCTAAGGGGGTGGTGCAAGGATGAATTTTTTTCCAAAAAATAAAAGTTCGGGAATTGCATGCAATTTTGCCATCAATTTGGCGGGTTACCATGGTAAAATTGCATGCAATTCCCGAACTTTTATTTTTTGGAAAAAAATTCATCCTTGCACCACCCCCTTAGGAGAAACCACGGACAACAAAAAAGTTTATGCACCCTGGATATATATAAATATATGTGTATTACATTAATTGAAAATTAGCAATTATGTGGTAACGGTTTAAACATATTGGAGGGATTCACTATTCATTACGAGTTCGCATTGCGAACTCGTAATGAATAGTGAATCCCTCGCAACGTTAGCAAAAAAGTTGGTTGAACATCTATTTGAAAACTTGCGCATCTCCAATGCCAGTATATACTTAAATAGTTCGCAAAATATTTTTCAAACTTATTTTGTGATATATACTCCCATTAGTTTATAAATGCGGGAAAGGTTCAAACTGACGTTCAACGTAAATTTACGACATTTCAGTACTTCAGTAAGAAAAATCAGCCTGAAAATACCAACTGTTGAGGGGTGCAATTAATGACCAATTAAATTCAAATAGTTATCAGCGGAAATATTGTACTTATTAGAACAAAAATAAATAAATACCTCTCGCGAAATCTTCATAGCTTTGTGAAATTGACCAGTTGTTTAATTCCATCGGAACGAGGTCGACACGTGTCTCGAGTCGTAAAATGAGACACGTGATGTAAAGGGCAAGGATCATCACTGCACTGCATTTTTCGACTAGGTGGAATTCCGCGAAACAAATTAACAAAGTTTGTAGAACCACGTAGACAATGTGCAGGAGCAGCCAAGCCTTAACATTAGCGTGGTGTTTGACATCTCGAAGAACGATTTTTCCTCTACTTTCGTCCCATTCGAAGTATGACGCGGAAAATCGTTTCGCCAGGTTAAGGTATCGTTTCAGAAAGGGGATTAATACTCGAACGATCATATTTAAAATGTCGTTTGAAATTATGTTGAAAAAAGTTTAGATGAGGGTTGCGTAAAGTTGAACTTTAGTTACATACATTACTAGAGCTGTGCACGGGCCCGATTTTTAAAAACCCAGCCCGCCCAGAACCCTACTGGAAAAAGCCCAGCCCGCCCGGCCCTATAGGGCTTTTCTGAAAAAAAGCCCGGCCCGCCCAAAACCCTATAGGGTAGGGCTTTTTTAGGGTAAACCCACCCATGTGCAGTTCTGCACGTATTTATCCTAAAAACCAGCACTTGCTAAGGCTTTCGGAGACTCGATTAGACATGTACACTAGGTATTAATAAAAAATGCAATGGTGGACAAGTCCAATGCTTATTATTATCAATATTTGCTAAATTTGTATTATTTTAGTTTAAACAAAAATCGAGTTAAGCCCTTGTATTTAATAGAACTGTATTTATAATTTGGTCTTAATCTCACTGATGTGATTTACAGTTGAGATTTATTTATTCATGAAATTGATTCGTGTAATGAAACAGCCAACCAGTGAAAACAAGTCCGTATCATTACAGATAAACAATTCCGCTTTAGCTGAGGCTATATAAAACTACGAAGTTTTGTTTCAAATTGCCATATTGTACTTTATCACTAGGGTAAATTAAAAAGCCCGAAGCCCTACAAAAAGGCCGGCCCGCCCAAAACCCTACTGGAAAAAGCCCGACCCGCCCGGCCCGACTGGATTTTCCTCCGGCCCGCCCAAACCCCTATAGGGTAGGGTAGGGTAGGGTTTTTTTAGGGTAAACCCGGCCCTACGCACAGCTCTATACATTACCGAAGTTATTTTGTCACTGTCAACTGTAGCAGAGAGACGATGGAAACAGAAATTAATTATTGATATTTCTCGAAAACTATTAGTAAATACAACCCTGTTTGGAAATTTGCATATATCTCGACAGTAGTGTCATTCGTCAAGTTTGTGTTAGCGACCAGTGCTTGTACCTCTCAGCTTTGGTATCATTTCAGAAATAGGTTAAGTACTCGGGCAATCATATATGAAATTTATGTATATTACTACACTCTTAGGAAACTGGAATCAAATTATGTACTACGTACCGGAGTACATATGTGACTCTACCGGCACGGTAATAATGGGTATTACCGTTTGGTGATGTTATGGTACTGAGTTACCACTCATGTCAAAACGTACCGCTTAGAAACAAACTATTATCTATAAAAAAATTACTACGAAGTCGATACCAGTTAGATATCTGCTACTCTACCTGATTTTTAACAGTGTGCGGAAATTTACGTCCAAATTTTCAGAAGGTTTAAAGTGAAGTTACTCGGTTTTCTGAGGTTGTTTTTCCGCAATGGCTTCGGAATCTTAATTTGTTATTCATACATACATAAGTATTTAAATATATCCTAAAAAGTAAATATCAATTTAGTTTACATTTTGTGTTGCAAAATATCTTGGCTGCCTGCGTGTTAACGACTGGCAGCTTGCATTATCGAGTACCAAGCTAGTAATTTTGTGTTTTAGCAGGACGTATGTATGTAGGCTTTAATAATTGTAGATTTCCTCATTTGTGGAAGTTCAGATTATTAAATATCTACAATTGATTGCTACTCATCTGCATATTGATGTAAGTTAATTAATCGGGAAATACAATACTGAAGAATACTTACTTACAGGAAGTCCCACCATTGATACTCCTCCTCCTCCTCCTCCTCCTCCTCCTCCTATATTTTGTTATACATCCTTGAATTTATATATTGGATAGTAAATATTCACATCAAATATGTAGATACAAATTAAGTATCTTGAGTGTATGTATAATGAGTCGAGTCTTATGTCAAAGTACATTTTTAATTTTAACAAAAATAACAATCAGAAATACGTTGACTTTAACTGATTATTTATTTATGATCAATATGCATATTGCTCGTTGAGTGTTTCATGTGTATTTTGAATCTAAGGAGTTTAAGTATAAAAATTGTGTGTGTATCAATTTCAACAATATCGAGATGTTAATATTTTAGAAGGTTTTATCCAAAATAATATGATGCAATTACGTATTTCTAAAACCAATGTAATGCTTTTCTTTGCCAGGCAGGTCTGATTCTGATTTGATGCGCACCGTATTTATCAAATGCATGAGAATAATAAAAACCCACAAAATTAGAAAATTCTTACCTATTAAAAAATACTTATTCATTCAAAACTATGCAATTCAAAAATTGGATACAAATATTGATTTGTGATTCAAAATTTTAAAATAAATATTTATTCATTATGCACTTCTTATTAATGTTATTAATTTTTTTATGTACATATGCAGTAAACCAATCAATTATCACCTAACCGTCACAAACTATTACAAGAGAATGTCATGAGGACAACATGTTGTCATCACCAGATGGCAGTAGATATTTTTTCAATTTCTTTTGTATTTTTTGCGTAATTCTAGTTCTATGTACTGCATTACAATTTATACTTAAGCACGAGTAACGAAGCGGTTTGTATTGCGCAAAATTTCTGAAATACGAGTGGTGTCAAAGCATCCACAAAATTATTTCCGAACTGAACCCTGACAGGTTGAAGGGATCTCACAACCCCTCTGTGCATAAGTACATAATCTATTTTATAATTATTAGCCTGAATCTGTTCAAAAAGGGCGTTGCAAATTCAATTAGACTTGAATTGGACGCTGTAGAAAATTTAGGTGAGGTAGCGATATTTGAAATTTTTTACGATATGGCATTTATTGACCGATGCGCGAAAACTGTTTGCAATGATCGCAACCCACAGTATGTAGGCGGCAAGCGCAGCCAGTAGGACAGAAGTCTGGAAAATAGGTTGGTGGGGGAAGTGGCATAGCATGTAGAGCGAATGTATGGTCCTCTAATACACTAAAGTTAATAAATTCAAGGCTAAAGCAGCGTAAAAGAAAATTTTTTGGATAAGTTTAAAATTTATTTTAACCTTATATTATTGGTGTTTCCAATGAAAACTCCGACCTGGCTTCCGCCAGGTCCCGCAATGCTGGGGCCCACTCCCGCCCAGGTGGACCCACCCGCAATATTGGGGCCACCTCCCGCCAAAGTGGTCACTGCCGCGACCTTATGATTTCTACCAAACTCTTCCAAAGCTACAAAATAATTTTTAAATATTTAAATATTCAATTTTCGGTCGGCGAATGTTAAACCGCTAAAAACTTACCCTTGATCTCGTCTTCCTGCGTCCACCTTGTATCGTCATTGATTTTCTGCACTTCCTTCATTTTTTCGGTGCGTCTATTCTCTAATTGCGTTATTTGTTGCTTGATATCTTCAAAGAAAAGTTGGGCTGAATCCCAGGCGGCTGGAAAAGAATTTTAAAATTTTAAATATTTTTTAAAAACAACGAAATTTTCCTTAGGTGAGGCACAAAAAGTAACTAGCTAACTAACCCCAAAAACTTGGGGCTAACCTCTTTCATACTACTGATTTTACTAAAATTTTATCTTGGTACGATGTTCATTTCATAATTACACCTGATAGCAACCAACTAAAATTATCAGGATTTCATATAAAAGGCGGAATATTTATTTCAACAACTTTCCAACTTTATAGTTTTTGACGAAAAATACAAAAAAATAAAATTTTTGGTATTGGTCGGTGTAGGGAAAATGTAAAGCAAAATATAAAAAAAAAAACTTTTTACCATAGAATTTTCTAACAATACCAGAAAATCGTTTTATAAATTTTGATGCCAAAGTAACTTATGCAGTACGCACATGTATTTGTGAATTTCGTCCTGAATGGAAAAAACGCAACACAAATGCGTGTATTTCATGCTCAACAGAAAATAGAGTCCTATACAAATGTGTGCACTTCTTCCTCAAGATGTTAAAAATATTTAAAAATATTTTACCTTGTCGCCCAGGTTGGCCAGGAAATTTTGGCATTTTGAAATACTATGATAGACGTTGACCTTAGCACAGTGAGTTGGCACGCTATTTGACAGGGTTGATACGTTGTTTGACGTTTAAAATTAATACTTTATTTGACGTTGTAAAAAATCAATACTTTGACAAATGCAAAAACTTACACTTTACTGTTAACCCTGCCTAAAACCTGTGTGGCTCGGATGTTGGAGGGACCTTATTTATATTTAAAAAAATGACAACCAGGGTTTCGCGTCTGAAAAACTCGGAAAAATGTTTTTGACCGTTTAAAAAGGGTAAATATAGCCTATATATTTGGTTAGAGGGAATGCTAATTTCGTTAATAATCAATATCTTCGGAATTGAAATATCTTCATATTCGTCATCTCCAGGAATTTATGAACATTTTGACATGCGATACGAATGCAATACATAAATATGAATAATAAATTGAACCGTATTTTCAACTTATTTCATGGAGAACGCGAGTATGAAATCAAATTTTGAAAACATTAAGTTTTAAGAAGCTGAAACAGCTTCTTACAAACCAGGTTTTTCCCATTTTTTCAATTTCCCTATTTCCCACCTATCTGGTTTGGTGATAAAAGTGCATTTTTCCCACTTTTTCCCGCTGCCCTGGTCAATTTGGTTTTTATCAGACGAAACCCTCTTGAAAAATACCCAACTTTAGTCTATATTTAACAACCGCAGCCTAAATTACAAAGAACCTGAAAAAGAGATATGTTTCTTGGAAAAGGAAGACCGATGTTGGAATTGTTTTACTGCAGCGTGTAGCTAAAATTGTAATCCAATATATCGAGGGCAATGAAACCTTAAGACAGTGTATTCTTGGAAGGATTAAGTAAAAAAAAGGGTCCCCAAACCCAAGTCCTAATGAAATGGGAAAATATAGAGGTAAAACTTTCATATCACATTTTCCTGGACAACGCTTCTTTACTTTTATCAGATTTATCATTACTATGTACCGTAAAAACTCAAATAGTAGCCGTTGCTCAAATAGTAGCCCTGCGTTTTTTCATAATTTTATAAATAGTGACCTTGCCCAAATAGTAGCCCTGCTCAAATCGTAGCCCTGCCCAAATAGTAGCCTTTATTCGAATTATAGCTGTGCATCAACTGAAGCACACATCTCCTAGCCAGGTCATTTAAGTAATTCAATTATAATTCAATTTAATCGCAATTACATACAAAAAATCGAAGTGCGCACGAAATTTGGCTCATCGAAGGAATTCATTAAGAGCAGGTTTAAACAATAGAATTGTCATAGCTGCGATTCTAGGGGAGAAATTGGTGCTGTTATTAAAATTTAATTTGAGCTTGATTCTGGAAACAAAATTCAATAGCTGTGTGCAAAAGTAGCCGACCATCTTTCCGTCATTTTATAAATAGTGACCGTGCCCAAATAGTAGCCTTGCTCAAATAGTAGCCGGGTCCCAGACACCGATTTTATAAATAGTAGCCCCCGGCTACTATTTGAGTTTTTACGGTATGTACAATATGTATGGACATTTTAAAATCTTATAAAATTAGATTGACATTTGACATGGATATATAAACTCAAATATTAAACCTAAATGTGATGAATATTTTTATACAAGACTATATATTTTAAAAGATATTTATATCCTTGAAGGGGTGAAACCCCCTTTATCGAATGGTTGTCAGTCCGTCCATCAGTACCACGTTTTCTTGAGAATGAGTGCGAATTTCGACATGCGATTTTCGCAAATGCTTCTAATTCGCCCGGACGATGCATGTTGAAAGTGGACACAGTAGTTCAAGTAGTCTCGGCACCAAGGGGATGAGATCAGCGATGAAAAATGTCGATATTTTAATTTGGTTTACATTAGAGTATCAAAAGCAATGAAATTGATGCCATTTTATAAATTTAAATTCACTGAATATGGGTATGCTGCGTTACGAACATATAAACTTGCTCCTATATATGCAAATATTATTCGGACCTAATGTGAATTGAATATCACAACAAATCAATTAAACTTATACAGATAAAAGCAAGGTATTCGAAAATACGTCGTGTACTGCGTAAAGGATGACTTTAATATGTGTCACGTCTTATCAAAACCATTAGCAAATTGGTAACAAATTTGCAGCTAATTGTCTTATGCAACACTGCAAATGTCCGGATACATGAAAACTTTGTGACAAATGTGAACTCACCTGTGTTATGTTACGTATGTATGCATGTCCATGATTAGTATTGCTCCCATCAATGCCCGTACGACTAGGGTTGCCGCGGGTAACGGGTCGGGTACCCGTTACCCGCATACCCGCACGATTCTTGCGGATACCCGTTATCTGCGGGTAGCGAGAACTACCCGCACGGGTAACGGGTAGTTCAGTTTTTATTTAATTTTCGACGTAAAACAGCTCACAAAGAAAGTTAGTCCATTTACGAACAAAAGCATCAATTTATTATTTATTGATTTTAAAATTTGGCATTTACCATTTGCCAGCAAATAGCGGTGATAGCGAGCGTGTGTTTTCAGAAGCAACAGAAGCCTACCACAGCCTCAAATGCTTTTTATTCCCCGAAAATGCGGAGAAATTATTGTTTCTCAAGAATAACTTGCCTGCTCTGAAACATCAGTAATAACTTGACTTGTACTTGTGTGTCTTTATGTAAAACTGACGAGATTTTAATTTGTACTTTGAAGGTGAAAAACCTGAATCGATTGAAAGCAAAAATTTTATTTGTAGGCAATTTCGTAAATAATGCCTTGATTTAAAATATAAATTTTTAAAATCCGACTAAAAATGGACTCTATTTTCAAATTACACAAGGATTGTCTCGTGGGTATATCAAAACATCAGGCCATAAATTACGAATCGCGTGATACTTTCCGTTGAACGTCCACTTTGAAGAAAAAATATTAACGTCAAAGTCCAATTTTTAAGTACATGTTTTGCATCTTTTTCCTTCACTGACGTTAACCATGGTGGACTTTGAACTCTGCCCCCAAATAGTTTTCTTTTAACGGGCTATCCAACAGAAAAATAAGTGATAATTCCTAATTTTTGGCTTGATTTTTCTATATAATTCGCTAAGTAATCACGGTATAGGCTTGAAAAAGGTTCCATTGTAAGCCAAAAAAGTTTGGTTTCAGAAACATCTAGCAAACTATGACATTCGGTACCTGCACAGTATTATATCCAACTACTGAACAACGAAAATGAGCAAATAATTGATTAAATCAAATTTATTCTGAAGGTTTGTTAGTTTTAACTTAGTTCTCATAACGGGTAGCGGGTAACGGGTACCTTCACGGGTACCCGTGCGGGTACGGGTAGTTGTGCTGCGGGTAACGGGTCATTCAACGGAAAAATAAGTGTCATGTAATTCCTATTTTTTGGCTCAATTTTTTTGATATATGTGCATAAATCGGGTTAGCTTGAAAAACGATTCAATGCAAGCCAAAATTGTTGGTTTCAAAAATAACGAGTGATATTTACGAGCAAATTATGGCATGCGTTACTTGCATAGCATTATCTTAAAGTACATATCAACCCAAATGAACAAATAATTGATCAAATCATATTTATTCTGAAGTTTGGTTAGTTTTTAACCTAATTCTCATAACGGGTAGCGGGTAACGGGTACCCGCACGGGTACCCGTGCGGGTACGGGTAGTTGTGCTGCGGGTAGCGGGTCGGGTAACGGGTAGCATTTTCGCTACCCGCGGCAACCCTATGTTGTAGTACTATATGAGAAATTGTCTCCAGATAGTTTTAACATGTTTGTACGGGGTTTCATAGTTCAAACTTTACGGCATAGGTCGATATAAAACTTTTGTCATTGTAGCTATACTTATGTTACATATTTATGTACTGTATCCCTGCTCTGAAAATCTTCAAAAATTATGAAATTAGAAATAATGAAATATGAAATGACTTTATTGTACTAAAGTAGTAACCCTACAAACTAGGGATGCACCGAGTAGTGAAAAATAAGACTCGGCCGAGTACCGAGTACTCGGCAATTCTTGAAACGAGTACTCGGCCGAGCACCGAGTACTGAGTAATTCATAAAAATCGGCCAAAATCTAATAACAATGAATATCTCCCAGCGTAATCTACCTAATTTTGAAGATATTCGTGTCACTCTATGTGTCTTGATCTGAAAAGCAGATTTTTTCTGATGATTTGCGACATTTTAATAAACTTCAGTAAACAGGAAACAGTATTACAAATATAATTAATACATTAAATTTGTGAAGGTGCTACAGTTATGTATGTAGTCAGGTTTTGCAGAGATACTTGCATACAAAGAGGTGAAAACGGGTCCCAAAGGTAACAAATTATACAGTCTCCAAATTTACTGCACGTTTTATCCTATTCGGATACAAATACTTATCTATCCCATGCTGAGCATTAGGAGATACTTTCTTATGAAAATGTGATGTATTAACCACACAAATCCTTGATCGATTGAAATTAGTTCAGTCAGAATCGGTGAGCATGCGTTTAGTAATGTCCATTGCAAGAACAGTCGAAAAAAACTCGTTAATTTTGTTGTCACTGATAAATTTGGACTTTGCTAACTTTTGGACTTGACTAAATATGCAAAAGTATTACGAAGCATATTTTGCAAAACCCAAAATACAGGAAAACTTCATGAAATCAGTTTCATGGACAAGATAATTTGTTAACAAATTATCAAAAAATTGGGAAAATGCTTGGCCGAGTGAGGCGACAATACTCGGCCGAGTCCGAGTAGTACAAATACACGCCGAGTACTCGGTGCATCCTTACTACAAACCTTAACCTACCCTACAAGTAAAAACATTCCACGCACCTGGAGGTAGTTTGCTTTGACATTCTCTTGAATCGGTTCCATCCATTCGGTATTTCGGATTCATTAGGTTATTAGATTTTAAAATTTGTCCCGATTTTTTCAATGATGGATAATTTGAGGCAGTTTCCTACCGGCAGTCCCCGCAAAAAGCTTGATGCTTTTCAACTTTTTACAATTTTTAACAATTTTGACGTATTAACTGCGAGTTGACAGAAAAAATCATTTTCTGTGGAGGACGAAGCTCAATGACCCTGAATTCGTCACTATAAATGACCGTGGATTCTAAAATTCACTTGGTGCTGTTTTTTTACGTACATACATAGATATTTTGTCCACCGGGGTCATTTATAGTGAAGAATTCAGGGTCATATCTT